CAGAGGTGAGGGACCAACCCAGGTTCCTCTCCCTCAAGGGGACTATGGCAGAAGAGACACATTCGTAGATTGGTGACATCACAAGCAAAGGTTACTGATCCCTGGCCCAAGAGCTTCTTTAGTTCTAGTCCATCAGAACAGAGTGATCTCAGAAAGAAGCACCACTGAGCAATTGCTAACAAGTATAGAGCTGCCTCTGCTTTCTTCAAACGGCATCTCCTTCATATTTGCTTTCGTTTCTTCATTTGTTAGTCACATCCACAACTTTTTAAAACTTCCTAGTCATGATCGATTATGAATAGTTCAAAGGTGATTAAAGAGCATAAAATCATCTTCAACTTGAACATCAGCTTTCATTATGTGGGACAACTAATGAAGAAAAATCATCATATTAAATGTCATTTAAAAAATTACAAAAAAATGGAAATTTAATGTTGAGATTTCTAGTAAAAACTAATGCAGTTAATTCCTGCTTTGTCATGCACTCTTTATCTTACAACAAAGCAAAAAAGAAAAGCACATTGCTAAGTTCAAGAACATGGGAGTTGGCTCTGTGAACCAGAAACAAAGAGAAACCCTAAGCAGGGAAGTGGATTGAAACATACGTGAACATGGACGCAGGAAACACACATCTAATCTTACTATCAAGGACCAGGCTTAGCTCCCTGAGACTCCAGAAATGGATTTATGGTGGCCCCTATATCACCCACAATATCCAGCACCCCAAGCAATGTTATGTGCTCTGGTTCTAGATTTGGGGTTTTGGTGGGGTGCAAGGAGGCAATGGCTAAACTGCCCCCAAACAGCAAATAATAAGCAAAAAATAGGGAAATCAGAATACATAAAATTAACTGAGGGTTAGCATTTCAAAACACAGGAAAAAATCTATGCTAAAACAAAGATAGACATCAAAACAACAACTTTAACATTTCAAATTATATTTTATACAATAGCACAAAAAATTTACAGTATGTTGTGTATGCTATGATGTTTACAGTGATAAATATATGAATTATATTAAAAATCAAGAAATAATAAAGCAAACTGGTAGAAATAAAATAAAAACACAGAATAAACATGTTAAAATTTTTAGAAATTAAAAATGTAATCAGTTAAATGTTTTAATTGGTGAAATTAGGTAACATTAATTTAATTAATTATATTTAAAATTAACTAATTGATCTTGGTTAACAAAACAGATAAAAATTAAAATTAAAATTTTCTGAATATAAAAAGTAATAGAGTTAACTAATTGAAAAACTTCAATAAATGAGATAAATTCTACACTGATAACAGTTAAATAGAGTTGGTAGATTGAAGGACAATACTGTGCACTTACCCCGTCCATAATTTAGTACAGTGAGACAGTTCACAAGGGTGGAGATGAGCTCTAACTAAAGACATTAAAAAGTTCAAGAAGAAGAGGAGGCAGGAAATGATGGACACGATATTTAAAGTGATAATCATGAGAATTCTAAGACTTGAGGAATGACATGAATCCATAGATTGGCAAAGCATTTTAAGTATCAAGCAGGAGAATTAAAAAATAAAACCAAAACTAGATATATAATGGTAAACTACAGATTATCAAGGATAAAAAAATAAATAAAAACTTAGAAGGTACCAAAGGAAAAAAAAGCATAATATCTACAAAGGAATAACTATTAGACCGATGGAAGATTTCTCGTCCACAATGATTGGTGCAGGAAGACAATGGAGCAATTATCTTCAAAGTACTGAGGAGAAATCTGTTCACCTAGAGTTCCATACCTAGCTAAACTACCTCAACAATAATTATAAAATCAAGAAATTTTCTAGTATGCAAAGCCTAAGAGAATTTAACACCTACATACTAACTTAAGTAACTATTAATTAATGTGCTTCAGTAAGAAAGGTGAATTCAGAGGAAGGCACAGGACACAATAAAAGAATGGCAATAGGAATGTGGTATATGACAAAGTTTGCATAACAAATTTGCAGGAGAATATGGGAAAAGGACCAATGAAATGGGCAAAAGAATCAAACAGTTCTAAGAAAAGGAAAGCTGAGTGACCAATAAGTATATAAAAAGATAACCTTCTTCATAAACAGGAAATTAAAGTCAAGACTAAACTTCACAAAACATCTCAGTACTTGGAGTAGCAAATATTAAAAAGGCTGATACAAGCAAATGCTAGAAAAGAATATGTAGAAAAAGGAACCATCCTATACTGTTGATAGATATGTAAATTGATATAAAGTTATAAGACATTTTGACAGCATCTCATACAGTTGAAAACATGAATACCCTCCTAGCCATAATTTCCAATCTAAGGAAACATGTCCCAAAACATTTATTACAGCATTATTTGCAAAAATGAATGATTGAAAACAACCTAACAAGATAATAATAGATAAAGTGTACTGTGTTTATAGACACTTGCATCAAAATGGAAAAATCTCAAAAGTAATGTTAGATGATAATATTAAGCTGCAGAATGAAACATATAACATGATACCATTAACATAATATTTTGAAACGTGAAATAACATCCTGTGCGTTAATTGGACACATACAAATATGAAAGTAAAAAACATACATGGGGAGATAAACACCAAATTTAGAGCAACCATTTACCGCTGGTCAGGGTGAGAAGCCCCTGGAATCTGGGCGAACATGGTTGAGTTTAAACTGTGTTTGTAAAGCTTGATATCTGAAAAAACAGAGATCTGAGGACAAAAGATGTAATAAACAAATAAATGTAAAAAGGATTTACAGTTTCTAACATCTCCATTTCTCTGTCCAGCCTGATTTCTAAAGCAAGAAATGAGAGGCTGGCTGGCAAAGAAAAGCTAATTGATTAATTCAAGATTTAATTTTGTTGTGTGGCTAAGGGGAGGAGGAATGGTGGCGGGGAAATGGAGACAACTGTAATTGAATAACAATAAAAAAGATAAAAAAGATTTAATCTTGTCATCACTGCAAAACACACCGTAACAATAGCTCTGGTTTATGGTGCATCATTAATTCAATAATAAGATTAATAATTAATAATAATAAAGAAAGTAACTGGAGAGATACAGTAAAATATCTTTAGGGAATGCATTTGAGTTCTATAGAAAACAGTAAATTCTTGGCTTGAATACGGCTCAGTAATGCCTGGGCTTGGGTGTCAGAATGTACAGCTGACCTGGGTCACTGAAGCTGAAGTCGAGGGAAATATAAGACACACACATGTAAGTGGGCATTTAAAAAATTCCCTTAGTTTAAAATTTAAGTAGCGTGCAGCTGCAAAACAAATCACAAAATAAAGTATCTGTGCCTAATCCTCACGTATCCCTTGAATTTCAAAGTTTGAGTGTAGCTTTGATGTGCCGACTTCATCTCTCAGGGCATGAAAGATTGAGTAGACCCCTGAGTTCCCTGCGCGGTAGACAGAGCCCCGGTGAGGGTGAGAGACCCGACTGCAGGGATGGGGAGCTCCCGCTCTGTTAGCTTTCGTTTTGTTTCTCTTAGATTCACAGCCAATAGCTACGTTTGGTAGACTCTGAGTTCGTAATTAGACTGGGTAGAAGGACCTTCAGATGGTTCAAAACTTCTTTGGTATTAATCAGAGAGAGAGTCAGCCGGGGGTGGGGGGAGGTTCTTTGTTTATTTGTTCATTCGCTTATCTGACACCTAAGTGAATTCAGTCTGTCACTGTTAGCTTTAAAGAAGAGCAGGGATGGAGGCAGAGAGACGGGAGAGACACTTGAACACTCAGTGTAGAACATGGTCTGCAGAGACATGATCACAATATATGCGGCAATCTAAAGGCCTCCCTAATTTTTGCAGATGTCGGCTTTATTTACAAAAACTCCAGGGAAAATTGTAGCTTTAACACACACCGCCAGTCCTTCCTGGATCTCTTCAATCAAAAAGCAAAAGCAAAAATAGGTTAAGATCCTGAGGAAACAAAGGAAAGTTATTTAGCTACATATTCGGACAAAGTAGCTATCTGATAATTTGTTGTTCAATGAACTAAGTCATTTTGGTTTCCTACATTATTTAAGCTGAAATTTTAAAAACGTATAATTTAAACTAAGGATATTGTTTTCATTTAGTCTATAGATGATGTCCAAATATCATCTCTATTCTAAAATTTTGAATCAAAATATTTTTGTTCTATAATACAATAATTAACTGCCACCCAAATTAGTTTTAAAATTTTCTTGAATAAAATACATGTAAGTGAAAATTATCTAATAATTCCTCCAGAAGCACAGGGGTGAGGAGTAGCGCTGTCATTTTACAAAGCTTTTGCTGAAGAGTGGGATGTGGAGAAAAAACAGACATCCATCCATCAGTTTTTAAAAATGAGTATTTAAAAAGGTTTGTGATTAATATCAACTCCAGCAAAATAGAAATAAACATTTTTAAAACTTCCAAAGAAAGCATAGTTTGATAAACGCCATAAACTCTCATTCTCACAAAATAGTATGGTTTGTAGTCTTATACTCAAAATAGAAAAATAAGTGCTAAGTTGTCCCAAATAAATAAATCTACAAATAAACATTTATCCTCGATCAGGGCAAAAAATGTATTTTCTGTTACTGGTCTGTTTTTCATATCGAACTTTATTGACTTGGGGAGAAGAAACATGATCTAGGGATCTGGAGACACTGATTCTGCTACGTATTCTGCTTGCTGAGTTACCTCCAACAAGTGATTTGAAGTCTCTGAGTTATCAAGGTTCTGTGTTTTGTTTGCTTTTCCTAGATTCAGGGTTGCTGCAAAAGGCAAATGGAAAAATGAACATTAAAGTTATTGGAAAGGCAGAAAACTCCACATCAAGTATACTTTGTTAATTATTGCTAAGGAGAACCCTCAGCTCACAAGCACTGAAGAATTTAGTGCTCACAGTTGATAAAAATATGTGTAAGGTCTTCACAGGGGTAATCTTTGGTACTTCCAAGTGTGGATAATAGCCTCTCTCCCTTTTGTCCCATTTCCTCTTTCTTTGTTTACTTTTTTCTTGCAGAGCCTCTACCTGTAACCAGTGTTTCAATATATGACTATAAACCTTCTCCTGAAACAGGAGTCCTGTTTGAAATTCATTATCCAGAAAAATACAATGTTTTCACAAGAGTAAACATAAGCTATTGGGAAGGTAAAGACTTCCGGACAATGTTATATAAAGGTAAGAGGCCAAGGAAGATTGAATAAATGATGACTAATTATTACTTTTTACATGATTTTTACTAAGTGGTCTGTTCTCTTGCTCTAAAGAGATCTTATAAATTCACTATCTGACCACAAATAAACCATTAAAAATAATTATTGATTCATGACAATCTTGTTGTGAGGAGTCTTAAAATGTTTGCTTCATTAGTTTAGAGTCATGTGCCATGCATAAGCTTTAAAAATACTTGAATTACTGTCACTTACATGTTATTCTTGACAAAGGTAATACATCTGGTACAGGAAATGAATTCACATTGTTTCCTTCTGGGTGTGTTAGAAGGGCACTTCTAGAACTGGAAATCTAGACAGACATCTCTCACAAATTTTTTTCTTGGATATGGTCCAAATTATTATCTATGTGATAAGTTAAATGCATTAATATACAAAAACTAGTCTTACTGTTCTTACTGGTTTGATAGAAAACCTGTGGGGAGAAGAGAGAAAGACAAGAGCCAAGGGGAATTAATAATTTCAACAGAACCAAGCCAAATTCTCTGAGCAGACTGCTGTGGGCAGGGGGTGGAGGCAAAAGGAACAGAGAACTTTCAGCTTCACTGGGAGTGAGTTGAGGTGGAGGAAGTTCCATACTCTCAGGACACCAGACCGAACAGTAGGGCCATGGATGATGGAGTGAGAATTGCCTGGGTGCAACAGGAAACATTTTGGTGAGACGGAGAGTGAGTACTGAAGCACAGAGGGCACACTGGCCAGAAAAATACCACTTTGATTGCTGCTTTTACAAATTCCGTTCTTCCATAGATGTTTTTCTTTTTAAAATGAGACACTGTTTGAGACATGTGCAGTGCATTTTACAGTTTTTTAATACTTTAAAACATGTAAACAAAAATAAATATAAATTCCACAAATTATTGCATTTTTTATTTTCAGTGAAAACAGATTAGCAAGCATAAGTACAAATGATTCAAAAGCAATCACTGGAACTTTTGCTGAATTAAAAGGCATGAGTTTAAAAATAAGTGAATGTGCTCATCTTTTTCAATTTTTAAAATTACTTTTGGCTTTTAACTGCATAAGAGATATTTTTATTTCTTTCTCTCATTTTTTTTTCTAACTTGCATTGGATTTCTACTTTTAAAATAGACTAAGTTTTATGAGTGAGCCTACAGAAAACATTTCTTGTAAAATTACTTCTTTCTAAGTCATAAAGTAGCAAAATACCTTGGGTTTTTACCTTAAACTAAGTAGCTAACATAAACCCAATTTTCACAATTTCTATACATGTTCTCCACTTAGTACACCTAATGTTCCTGTAATCAAAATTTAACTCCAATTATATCCAATTCTTATAGAAAAAAAGCCTTTTACTGAAAGGAAAATTTTTTCTAAAAATCCAAATTTTTGTCTGTACTTTTATGCCAAATATTTATTACTTTCAGAAAATTTTTCCTGAAAATCTAAATTTTTGTCTGTACCTTTATACCAAATATTTATTACTCTCTTTGCCAGAAGTTGAAGGAAATATTATTTACTGATATTGAATCAGATTGGTTAGAACTTCCTAAAACAATATGTCATTTAGAAGACCAATATTTTAACATAACTCATTTTTCTCTTCTCAGATTTCTTTAAGGGAAAAACAGTATTTAATCACTGGCTGCCAGGAATATGTTATAGTAATATTACCTTTCAGCTGGTATCAGAGGCAACTTTTAATAAAAGTACTCTTGTGGAGTACAGTGGTGTCAGTCACGAACCCAAACAACACAGAACCGGTAAGTATTCTGAAGAATTAAATTTAGTGAAAAAATTACAGTTATATGTTGTAATTGTATGTATACTTCTTATCATTCTAAGAAAAATTCTGCTCCAGAGCTAAGAAAGAAAATACACGTAATTTTTTAATAATCTAAAATAAAGTTTCTATTAGTGTCAAGGGAACCTGGCAAAATATTCAATAAGGAAAATCTAAAATGTGTCAATGTTATGACAGATTTATACTCTTTGAATAAAAAGAACGTAATCCTATAAAAAGTCAGAATTAAATAACTTAACTAGATCAAGCAGACATCACTTCTTCTATATTTCCATCTAGCAGAAAAAGAGATCGAAGACATTTGAGTATAGATTTTTAGATTGTTAAAGGAGAATTTGGGGATTCAGATATATCCAAAACTTAACAGTGCTTAACTTTAGTAGCACAACTAATATGAAACACTGTTATAAAGTGGATGGATGGATGGATGGATGGATGGATGGATAAAACAAATACATACCTACTAAATATCCATTGCCGATACAAATATGTGTCTAATGTGCCTAAACACTCAATAGGAAAACTCAAGAGGCCATTTATATGCACACTGGGAACGACTTATGTGAGATCATCCCACGGACCCTTCCAGTATGAAATTCTAAGTTGTCAGGACTCTCATTAATTAGGCCAAGGCAAAATGAATATATAATTCACCTCATGTCAACATATAAGATTCTGTTTGTATTTTTCATTATTCAATTCAAGTAAAGAACCATTAATTGAGAACCTTTTACCTGGGAGTTGCTCTAAGTACTGGGAGGAAGACAGAGACTGGTGAGAAAGTTTCTCTGTCTGCAAAAATGGTAGACTTTCTATACAAACAGCAATAATAAAAGACAGACTGCAATACATGTTATAAAAGATGTATAAAGTTATATAACAACCCAAAGGAAGAATAGATTAATTTTTTATGAGGCGTTCATGGAAGAGGTGATATTTGAGCTGCTACCTGCAAAATAGGTGGAAATTATTGCAGGTAAAAACCATGCAATGTACCTTTATAATTTTCTACCTCTAGAGAATTATGCTTCGATAATCCATAAACTAATTTTGGGCTCATATGATTCACTTTTGAGAGGTGAGGAGTAAAGACATATTTCCAGCCTGGATGGTAATGATTCAAAAGGCAGCTCATACATGCACCCACCACCTACCTGCAGCTATGGCAGAGGAGTATTTCTGCATTGATACCTATAAGCACGTGATATGTAGTTGGGTTTTTTTGTAAGAAAAATCCAGGTACAGAGATTCAGATTTTAAAAAAAGGAGATTATGATAACGGAAAAATACTGATGTAAGTTCGTGTCTCGAAAGTGGTTAAATTACCAATTGGACAAGCATGGCATCACAAGCCAACACAGATGCTGACTAATGTGTACACTACACAGGAAATTGTACAGGTATGTGTGCTGGAATCATAAAGTAGAACAGAAATATATAGAATGCAAACTGAACTCTATTTGGTTAACTTGCTTGTAGATCTGACTCATTAATAGATTAAGCATTCACTGTAATAGAGTTTAAAAAGTACTTGAAAATAAAAATTCTTTCTCTTACAGCCCCTTACCCACCTCGAAATATCTCAGTTCGCATTATAAACTTGAACAGAAACAACTGGGAAGAAGAAAGTGGCAGTTTCCCCGAGGAGTCGTTCATGAGGTCGGAGGATACAATGGGAAAGGACAAACTGTTCCATTTCACAGATGAAACTCCGGATATTCCCTCGGGCAACATTTCTTCTGGTTGGCCTGATTTTAACAGCAGTGATTACGAAACGACCTCCCAGCCACATTGGTGGGACAGTGCATCTGCGACTCCTGAAAGTGAAGATGAACTTGTCAGTGTACTTCCCCTGGCATTCGAAAATAACAATACACTCCGTGACACCGAGAAGTCACCATCAGGCCCTTTCTCATTTTTCCCTGTGCAAATGATATTGAGTTGGTTACCACCCAAGCCGCCCACTGCCTTTGACGGGTTCTATATCCACATAGAAAGAGAAGGTAAAGCAACGGGAAATCAGAGGAAATGAGAAATGATACAATCAAAGGAAAGGGAATTGAAACATTTTTTAATTTAAGTTTAGGAAGAGAAACTGGTGCGAGACAGTTAATAGCTAAAGAAAAAACGATAAAAGGAAGAATTTAACTAAGTTTCCAATGTGAACTGAGACTAGGAAACAAAATGAACAAATTAGATCAGAATCTGCAGGTTCGGTTAGTTCTGAAGTAGCAAGTACTGGCAACTGGAAACATTTCACTGCCCAACATTTTATGGACCCCAGGGTACTCAGGAAAGATTTGCATCTGCAGGTCTAACCACCGTGACAAATTACAAAATATTCTGGAGAAATTTTGTGTTTCAAACATTTTCGAAGCATGCAACAAAAGAATTTTTCTGACAAAATGGCTACTTTATCAAGAGTACCAACCCTGTGTCCTGTTTACCCAGCTCTCCTAATTTCCCCTGGGGTCACCACGCATGTTCTCCCAAGGAGGAGCTGGTGGTAATACAGAAAATGCACAGCAACCAGTGTTTCCACTGCAGTGACTATATTACATATTGTATTCACTTAGCCAGCACCTGAGAGTCATTCTTTATCTCTTAGCCCACTGATTCATAAAAAACAAAGCCTTGGCATTCAATAAATTGGGGTCATGAGTGATATCTAACTTGTTGTCTGATAGATTTTTATAGTTGTTTGTTCTTTGTCTTGTTTTTACAATAACAAATTTCATTTTATGCTTTCCAGTCTAGTAGTTTGGGTGGTAAAGATTGTCAAGTTGTCAAAATTTGAAGTTAAAATGACAGGTTGTTTTCAGTGTAGAGCATTGGGATCATGTAGTTTTGCATTTGACATATTGTTCACTTCTACTTTATTTAGTAGAACGAGACACTAAAAATCTGTGGATTTCTCTATACTGGAGGATAGAGCAGTAAACCATACCCAATATTGTATAAAATTGAAATCCTTTTCATTTCCAATTATTTGAGTCACAAGTCTTAACATTTGCCTGGAATTACTTGTATTAAAAAAATTCCCATAATCTAGCTTTTATTTTTCTGTTCCTTAATATACTTTATGGAAAATAGGGTCTTGTAACTCAGGATTTTTTTAATGCTCATTTTCATGAAGGTTCAAGCGTGCTTTTATCTGACTTTACTGTATTCTGTTGGAGGTGATTATAATCGCCAACTGTTGAAGGCTAATGGAGTAATAAGAAACAGGAGATGGACTTTGAAGCAATATAAAAATTATTTTTACTTTTGAAAGTTCTGGGAAAAAGCAAATAAAAATATTACAAGTGTCAGAAAATATGTGCAGAAGAATTACTTCTAACTAGAAGTAATTCAGTATATTTTAAAGTATTTCTGGATATTCTTTGTTACCACAAAGACCTCGTAGGATATTTGTTGCTGGTTATTTTTTATTACTTATATTCAGATGAGAAAGTCAATTATTGCTATCATCTGACATTCTACTTCTATTTTGTGCATGTATTTTATTCAGGTAACTGTATGTAATAATACAAATATGTTCACCCTCATTTTATTGATTTATATACCATATTTTATTTTGGTCATTTAAAAGTATTATGAAATCATTTTGAACCCTTGATTATTTTTTATTTATAATGCCTTTAGCTTAGAGATATAATTGAATTTAACAAAAGGAAAGAGACAACAAAAAATACTTTTTGTCAAGGCTTTTCCAGTTATCAATTTACATATCTTCTCTTTTCATGTATGATTCAGAAAACTTTACTGAACATTTGACAGTGGCTGAAGAAGCACACGAATTTGTTACAGAACTGAAGGAGCCTGGGAAATATAAGTTATCTGTGACCACCTTTAGTTCCTCAGGATCTTGTGAAACTCGAAAGAGTCAGTCAGCAAAATCACTCAGTTTTTACATCAGTAAGTACCAACAAGACCATGTTTCACTTATAGGGGAGCTGGAACAATGGAACTGGTGGGACTAATGATGCCCAGGCATGACTTATCAAACCTTAGAGACACTAATTCTTCAAGGTCAGGGAAATCCCAAATGCATGCCACTTGGAGAGCAGAAGAAATATATGTGTTTCATAGTCACAAACCCATGCATTTAACTTAAGGACTTTTTTTTATTATTGTGATAATTGCACACTTTTTAAGCTGACCTTTCACACTAGCCACACAAACTCTCAAAGGACACGAACACACAGTCTTGGAAATATGACTTGTGTTTAAGGTCGTAAAGAAATGTAATATTGTTGGGCTGTGTGAAAAGTCTCATTAAGGTATCGCGCTTATAGAGCTCAAATGAAAGACAAATGTTGGACTTTGGTAAAACCTATGTGGTCACCATAAAGTTGCTACAAAAACAAAAAGCTAGAGCATCCTGAAAGGCCCAATATCAAGTCTTGGGATGGCATCTATTGATCCCATAAAGAGGAATAGCAGAATAGTAAGTAGCCTCTAAATGCGGTACCTGCAGAGCATGTCTGTGATGTTTTTAGCTAACCTGAGCACCTTTACCAGCAGCTCAGAGACTAAAAATCAGTTATGTAGCTCATCAGGACTTCAAGGTGCCCCAGGTAAGCAGGAAGAAGACACAGAAATGAATACATAAAAATTGTTCTCCAAAAAGGATGACCACCACACACTTTGCCACTATCTGCAAAGGCAAAGCACCACTCTGTTCATCCAATAGTCCTCAAACAGGTGGGCAGGATGAGGAGGACGAGGGCAGAGGGAAAAGACTGATTTATTTAGCAGCTTAACAATGTTGGAAATGTCCCATATAACTTTTTAAATTTAATCTTTATTCCATTTTTTTCCATTACCATTTAGTCCATTTACAGCCCTCTGTCCCCAGCAATCACTGCACTGTGGTCCACGTCCATGAGTCCTAGAACCTTTTTTCTTAAGAAACCAAAAATGTTGCCCCTGGTAGAAGGCCTCAAAGAGCCATTAGACACGCAGAAAGAATAATCATGATTGCCTTTAATGTCTTCCAGTCATGGGAGATCTTTGGTGTGAGATCATTTGAGAATAAGGACAAAGGTCTGTTCAGGTCTTCCCATGAGGCTAAAATTGTTTCATTAACCAAAAGACTTCCCTGCCGCTCCTAGTGGTCCCCTCAAGTGTTAACGGCCTCCGGGAAAACTCCCTCGGCTACGCTGGCCACACTGGCTCTTCCCCTCTCTGAGTTTCCACTGTTTCGTAGCACATGACACAAACACACAGAGCTTGTGTGTATGCGGTATTTTTCTAGATTTATTTTATGTGTGTACATCTGCTTGTAGCCTGAGGTTATACTATTTGCATATTTGTTAATTCTGCTGTACCTTCAACAAATATTTATTCAACTACCACATGGGTTTTGGAAACCCTGGTGTGAATTCCAGCTCACTCTCCTGCCTTAGTTACCTCATCTGAGGGTAAGATTAACACTAGTACTGATCTTATAGGTTTGTTGTGGAAATTGAGGGATTCAATACCCAGACACATATAGACTTAAAACAGAGCCTAGTATATAATGAGTGCTATACCTCTTTGCCATCATCATTATCATCATCATTATTGTCGTTTCCCTTGCCCCAGTTTCGGTGAGCCAGAGGCTGCTGTCCCCAACACCAGCACTTGCTCCTTTTCCTGTCCTGGGTTCCCGCCTGGGAATACAGCTTTCCATTAAGGAACCGAGAAATGTTTCCTAAGCAAATAAAAGGAAGTTTCACGTTGGCATGTTTCTCTAGATAATAATCACCATAGCAACTCCAGAGCCCTTCCTTTGTGCTAGGCACTGTGCTAATAACCCCTTTAGAAACCTGAGGGAACCAAACTAATGCGGCCACTGCTACGGTGATATTTTAGCCTGAGAAACCTACCGTGTCTTCAAATTATCACGCAGGTTTTCACCAGCTTCTTTAATGAAGCCAGCCTGTTGCCCATTTCCTCTCTCATATCGTCACACGATGCCTCCTCCATCCTGCTGTTGCCAAATTTGAATTGTTTTCAATCAACTGTAGTAGAAGATAGTTTGAATCTCCAAGTAATTATTCCTGGAGACCACAGATCCTAGTAGCAAGGAGATTATAAACACGGATGAAGTGTCACACTGCGATGTCCCCTCTTTGCTAAAAGAGAAGTCAAGTCTGTGTGTCGAAGAATTTTCCAGAGTAACTCAGACGCACAGGACGATGGAAGTGGAGCTTCTGTCACCCAGCGGAGCTGCTGTGGCGGCTGCGGTCGTTGAGGCCGATGCTGAGTGAGGCCACGGAGGGCAGTGGCTGGGCGGAGTGGGACAGACCCGCCAGTCTGGCTGCCAGTCTTATTTTGAGTATCTTTGTGAGGGTGAAGGAAAGCCACGTGATTTTAAAAAATCGAACCTTTCATCTCAACCATCGCAGCATGAACATCCCTTGTGCTCTCCTTTGAAACGCTCAGGTCCCTCCGGAGAGTGGATGGAAGAGCTCACAGAGAAGCCGCAGCACGTGAGTGTCCACGTTTTAAGCTCAACCACCGCCCTGATGTCCTGGACATCTTCCCAGGAGAACTACAACGGCACCATCGTGTCCGTGGTGTCACTCACCTGCCAGAAGCAGAAGGAGAGCCAGAGGCTGGAAAAACAGTACTGCACGCAGGTAATGGAACTGCGCGCGTGGAGCTCACTGCGCCACTCACTGCGGCGGCGCGGCCCGGGGCCAGGAGAGGGGTGTGAGCTGCTGCCGGGGCGCAGTCAGCCTCCCTTTGCCTCTTCGATTGGCCGTGTTCCTTTCGCTGTCGTTTTTCTTTCCAGAGAACTGACCGCGCACCTGCAATCTGCCAGGTTCTGGGACAGATATTGGGGATCTAGATCATTTTGATTCATCCTGCTCTTGCAGAGAGCATGATCTAGTGAGAGCATTGGATAGGTAAATGTATAATTACTGCGGAGTAATTATATGGGTATAAAATCAGGCCGAGGCTAAACGTGAATGACCAGGAGGCCACGCGAAAGAAGGAAGTGGGCGTAGGGAGGCCTGGGTGGGGGCAAGAGGGTTTGGAGACTGGTGAGAAAAACTTCCCCCAGGGGAGGAGGCAACCGCGTAGAAGGCTTGGGGGGAGGTTTTGGTTGTTTTATTTTTTTCTTTCTTGTTATTTTAACTGTAAAAGTAATGTAGGCTCACTAAAGAATAATTCAAAAATTAGAAGTATATAAAGTAAGAAACTCAATAATCACAACTGAGAAGAGCTCTGCAGGATGACTAGGAGTTAGGGAGCACAGAGGGGGGGGGCAGTGTGAGAATCTGTAGTTCTGGGAGTGACGGCCAGAATACAGGCGGAGGCCAGTCGTCGGTCCTGCGTGAGACCAAGCAGCCTGGGCCCGAGAGCGGACTCCCTCTGCTGCGCCCTGACCCCCCGCCGGAAGCCTGGATGGAGCCCAGTCCTATTTTCCTAAAACCTAGATTTATTATTGCATTTTATTATTTTGTTTTGTTATCTATTACATTTTATTATTTCATTAGATCAACTTTACTGTTTCTTGGTGTCTTACAAACACAGTATTTACCTCCCCTTAAAGGCAAAAAATTTTTAATTCATGTGGAGTACACTGGAAGTATAATAATCAAAAGAGATGTTTGCTATATAAAAGCTATTTAAAATGTTTCCATTTACACCACAAAAATACAGGCATTTAATGAAATTCAAAGAGGGAGGATTTGTGATTTGGTAAGATGAAATCAGGGTCTGTGGCCCTCAGAGCAGTCGAAAGTCTTGGAGTGCTGAGATAAGCCCATCCTTAAAATGCGGCCCCCCCTTGACTAGAATTAAATTAAGGAGTAAATATGCTGAACCAATTAACCATAGAAATCACAGCTCACTGTGCAGCTTATAAGCTTCCTTCCCTCAGCCTGCCCAGGATGACTGACTCTGCGTTCATAGAAAAATGTGTTTCTTTTACAAACCTGTCCTACAACTTGACTGCTCCAAGGGACATTTCTTCCTGGCCCCAGATAATGTACAAGTTATGTATCTTTTGCATGGAAACAAAAGCCTAAAGGTGCAGACAGATAGTGTACATTATAAATGAGCCAGAAAAGGCTGGTGCAAGCACACCTTGATACTACCTTTCTGAAGTGTGAACGTGACCCTGTTGAAGATTATAGGCAGGGAGATGGATATTTTAAGTGGAGAGTGGAAAATAAAAACCAGTGTGGTAGGTGTTATCTCAATTACCACACGGATGTTTTGAGAATTGTGGTATTATCACACCACCCCCATCCACTGCCCCACTACCCATGTGCTCATACACACTTTCAGGTGCAGAAACATCAGTTTAAAAAGTCTCAAAAACCGGCCTACAGTCATGTGGTCATCAGTCAGGGGAATCCAGGAGGTGTTCTCACCAGGACTGGTCTGACTGACCTGGGTTATTTCTAAAGCAATCATTGTCCAGAAAGAAAATAATAATAATATGTCTTTAGTATATTCAGTGGTACTGTGACTACATTGAATAGAAAATTCAAAATACAGCTCAAAACTAAGTGTGATTCTAAAGCCAGACACATTAACAATTACTATAATGTTTCACTATTTCATAGTTTCCTCCTCCCTATTTTGCCTCCACCATCAGCTGTACCGCAGGGTCTTTGCTTTACTTCTCACCCAGATCACCCATGAGATGCACCGCTAGCTCCCCTCCTCCTCCCCCAGCTCCGCGGGTTTCTGTGGTAGGTGGATCCTGTGAGAGGTGTTAGGAATAGAACACATTTGACTTGAACCTTAAGTTCATGAAGCTTAACATCTGGCCTTCCAAGTAGGTACATTGTATTCATTCATTTAAATTTGTCCTCATCATGTGTATGTTCTTCATGCCTGGCATGTTCATTCTTAAAATAGTGCTGAGACTTTTAAAAATTATAGCACAGATAAGCCATCAACAATATATTGTTTTCCCTTGACTCATACACCTTTGCAGCAATTTTACAATTTTACATAATCTTGGGGCTGAAAGTTGAGTAATAAGAGTCAACTTTTTTATATTCTGGCTTAAATATCCTTACAGCTCTCTGGGAGGTAGATAAGAGTATTATCTATAGTTTGTCAATGAGGAAGCCAAGGTAAGAGTTATTTCAAAAATTATAAATTCTCAGTAAATGTTCACGTTTATGAAGGTAGAGTCAAAATTTGATCTTAGGCAGTCGGAATAGAAAACCTGCGTTCTCTCCACCAAGCAAGACTGTGTTAAAGTTAGAAGCACTAAAGGTTAAAGCAGTATGCTTCTTAATCATCATTCCTATGCATAGCAACATTCAACTTGAATGGCTACATTTTATTTATCTATTTTCTGTATGTTTCTCTATATGGTATTTGTTACATAACCAAAGTTTAAAAAAAACAGTAAAGAAGAGCTCATCCAATGAGAAATGTTCTGGACAACAGTGTTGTGTGGGGTCATAGTAACCTTGCAAACTGTGTTCTGCTTTGTCTCCAAGCTGAGCCTGAAGTGTGGACTAGAGGTCACAGGCTCGGCTTCTAGACCCCCACAGAGTCTCAATAAGTGACCTTGGCCATTCTCTGGCTTTACTTTGTTGATCTATTAAACGAGAAATTTGGACTAGGTAATTTCTGAAGTCATATCCATCTCCATAATTAGATGTTATGTGCTTCGCGGTGACAAGGGACTAAGGGCATTCCTGCACTGATATTTGTAATGTAATCAGCTGACACTACAATTTAGGGTATCAGACTATCCTTATGGTATTGCTGATTTGATTACAGTTAGAGGCTGATGTGTCTCTTGTGGACGTAGTTACAATTGACATTGATGGGTATAAAGCAGTTCCCGGGGCTTATTAAATCCAGCCATAGAATTGAAATCTTCTGGGCCCTCTTCACTGTTCACACAAACTATAAATCACCCTGATTTTGGAATCTGACCTTCCTGGCCTGAGTAAAGGATTCTGGATTTCAAAGGCATCTGTGGGTTCACAAAAAATCCCTGAATACAATGTTAGCTTCTGTGTCACATTCTAAAACTGCAGCTCTGAAGAAACCTTACTGGGTGTTTGCTTTAAAGGTGAACTCAAGCAAATCCGTTATTGAAAATCTGGTTCCTGGTGCCCAGTACCAGGTTGTGATGTACCTAAGAAAGGGCCCTTTGATTGGACCACCTTCAGACCCTGTGACATTTGCCATTGGTAAGTTGCCAACTATAAGAATAATAACTTTATCTAAGTATTGTTTGGAGGGGTGCAATGTCCAAGATCATGTTATTATCATCATCTTGTTCACCCAATATCCTACCTTCAGAGTAAGAAACTATTACAATTATACAGCTGGTGGACAGTTCTAGCATTTACTGCTGGTGGGGAGCAGCGAATCAGGGGCAACTATGTTTAGTTTTCAATGATTGTATCAGAAGGGTGAACACTTCAGTTATTAAAAAGAAGTTTGAAGCCATTACTAAAATACTAAACATTTCTTCTTGGGTTTCTTTTTTCACTCCCCCTCCCCCTTCTCCTTAGTTCCAACTGGAATAAAGGATTTAATGCTCTACCCCTTGGGCCCTACAGCAGTGGTTTTGAGCTGGACCAGACCTTACTTAGGAGTGTTCAGAAAATACGTGGTTGAAATGTTTTATTTCAGTCCTGCAACAATGACATCAGAATGGACGACCTACTATGAAATAGCAGCGACTGTCTCCTTAACTGCATCCGTGGTAATTTCTCCTTAACTGTCTGGCACACTGTTCTGGACATGCCTGTATGTACCAAGTGTCAGAAAAAGGTGTCTGCAAATATACACAGGCAGCTTGCTACTATCAAGGCTTTTTTGTTTTTGTTGTTGTTATTGTTGAGATTATTCTCTGGTTTTGTTTATTTGTTTGTTTGTTTTGAAGAAGAGAGAGAATTGTGTGAAACTAGCTTTCACCCATAATTGAGTTTATTTGTTAGTCCTTATTTTAGTAGCGCTATCAAGCATTTACTGTTTGTCACTGACCCAAGGGAGAAAAACACAAGAGATTACCTTTCATTACTTAATGATTGGCTGACACTGCTTAACTGTAACGATGACAGTTCTTGACATCTACAAATCAATTAAATACCTGTAATGTAACGTCATTAGGGAGCAGGTAAAGACTGCTCTTCCTAAAACTTGAATAATTTGTAGAGGGCAGGTTACCTACCAGTCACACACGATTGCCTTCTACCCAGCAGATAGCTCTGGTAATTGCCACCCATCAAGGGCATGTGCTTATGGTCCAAGCTGGGGGAATACAGAATTGTTAGAAGTCATTTGGCACAGAAATAGGGAGATGTGTGCATACAATCACTTGCAAATAAGTACTACTTCACTTGTGTAACAGAAAAGTGCAAAATAAAACCAACATTGGAAATAGTTGACTCTATACCTTTGAATCACTTTTGAAAATTATATTACATTTTTGCATAACATTTTATTTACACCTCACCTCATTGCAAAAAGAGGCATTTTTAGTGGAAAATTTGGTGTATACAACAAGGCACAGAAAAGAAAAACAAAAGTTAGTTATTAATTCTTTTTATGGTTGGTAAAAATAACTCTATTCCAAAAATATGCTTTTGCCCCTTAGACTTTTGTTCCCTTGCTGTTTTTAGAGAATAGCTAACCTGTTACCTGCGTGGTACTACAACTTTCGAGTGACCATGGTGACATGGGGAGACCCGGAACTGAGCTGTTGTGATGGCTCCACCATAAGCTTCATAACAGGTGAGCGGTGTGAGGGAAATGGTTTCTGAGGAGAGAACACTCTTTTGTGGTGGTTCTGAAGGGACGCACCTCCGGAAAGTGTTAGTCGCTCATGCAGGACTGACCGAGCTCCAGTTTCTTGGAACATAATGTGCTTGAGTCCGAACATCCATTGTTTGTTTAAATGGTAGCCTTTAAAAATTAAAATATTATTCTTATCCTGAGTTACTGTCCTTGATTTGTTTGTATTCTAAGTCCCTGCCCTTGAGTTATGTGCCTGTGTTGGAAATTGATTAGACTAGAGATGTAGCAGGCAAAGCTCTTAGCTTCACTCTGCATTCAATTGACTTCACCCATTTGATGATTGTATTTGTTAGACTGCCTCCCCTTAATTAAGCCATTTCTAAAGTCACAGGCTGACTGCAGTATTGTCCTCTGCAGGAGTTAAGACAAGCTTCGGAGCCAGGTAGACCCAGATTCGAATCACGGCTCTGCCGCATACCACACACGTACAACCTTGAGCAAGTTAACTTTTCTAAGCCTCGTTTTTTTTATGGGGAAAACAGGGATGATAAATTATCCATTCTCTGTTATTATCTATTATTGCCTCAATTAAATAAGCTACTTCACAAAATACAAAGTTTTAAGTAAATTTTTTAAAATGTTCATGTTAGATCTTGAAGCCTTAAATTATGTAGTTCATCATCATGTAGCACAGATGGCAGAGGTTATTAGAGATAACAATGAAAACAGGAAATTCATCAAAGAGACATTAACTCTGGTTGTTTGAATTAATATTTTTCAAGAACTTCGGGTTGGACTATAGGGCTATAATCAGAGTTGTACCAAAAAAGGAAAAAAGTATTTTTAGATGAAGAATAATTTTGGCAAAATGTTTCTCTTAAACACATCTAGCTCTGTTCTGTTGAAATTTATAAATTAAAGTATAAAAGAAAAATCATGTGTGAATTCTTACACAATTAACTTGTATAGTTCATCGCTTTTTCTTACTAGCCAATGTCTAGCACTCCTTTTTTGCTCAAAAGAGGAGAAATACCAATCATTTAATAAGCTTCGTGTTACACTTTTGACTGTATTAATAATTACGTATTTATTGTAATTAAACATCACTGTATCAATAATTTATAAGTTTAACTTTATTGGGATTCTGGAAAAGGCCCAGACATCCCCTCTGAACGCTTGATTGAGCAGACCTGGCTCTGCCAATTTCTAACTTGAGAACTGTGAGCAAATTATCTTACTGATCCTAGACTTCTATTTTATCATTGGTAAAACTCAAAGCATTTCCTAACAACTGGCTAACAGAGCAAACCTCAGTGCCTTAGCACTCCGGGCAGTGAGGCAGAGCACCGCCTTGCAGGCCACTGTAGTGTCACAGAGGGGGAGTTGGAAGTGGAGTACTTGCTATTCGTGGTAGGATTTGGAGTCCTGGACGCCAGTGGTCAGGTGTGCCTTTCAAAGCTGGGAACCCACTGGGACTGGACAGAGATCACAATATAACAGTTTAGGTTGACAACACAAGTCTGGATACAGGATATGTAATACTGTGGTTAATCAGCAAGCTACTTGCCGAAGAGAGCAGTCTATTATCTTCGATAAATTGGTTTTTGGTGATTTCTTATCTTTTTCTGGAACAAACTACTAAGTCATGCTCACATTGGTGGTTCACAGTCTTATCTAAGCCTATTGATGCAGGTGGTCTCAATTCTCACATTTATAATATGGACATAATAACCCACAGGATACTGTGCAAATGAAATTATGTGGTTTAAATCATTAGTAATATGTAATGGTGGCTGATTTGTTTTTACACTTATTTTTAAAACTAGTTAAACTTCTAGCTTTTTTTTTGGTCTTTTGTCATTTCACTTTTAAAGCAAAGGAGGATCTCATACTTCACTTTCCTGTGCTTTTACTTGTGACCTGAATTGCCACAATGTGTGGTATAAAAGGAAAGAGGAACAAAATATTTGAGTAAGGTGTGATTTATTAGACATCAAGTCTACTGTCGCTGTTAGGCAATTTACTGTGTCTGCAAGTCTCAGTTCATGATTATGCTGGGCTACCAGGTAGTGTTTAATAAACAAAGAGTGACATCTTGTGGTCCTTCAGCACCATGCTGGATTTTAGAGTAACAGCATGGAGTACAAAAATCTGAGTGGAGATATATATTTCTGGGTTTGCAATTTTAAATATGTTTCTTGTCCTCACTAGAATTAGGCTATGAGAAAATATCCTTTGAAGAAATGTAAGTGTAGGTAGTTGTATATGACAAAGTATGTAGGAATATATTAAGAGGCTATAAAGAAGCCAGGGTTATTATCCTTTATTAGAATATTCTAAAGTGTGATATGGGTTTGTGTTACTTGCTAAGGCACATTGCTGATATTTCAAGATTTTATTGTCAAACATATGGAAATGCTACTGTTATTTCACATCAAACAAAAATGTATTTTTACTCTATTATAAATCTTGTCAGTGAATAATTCCTTCAAAGCATCTTTAGTTATGTATGTTTTGAATATCAGTACCATTTTAAAGAAAATAATTCATTATGATTTGTAGAAATTCAAATATTTTAGTTGGCTTTATGCTGCATCATGTATAAAAATAAATAAATTAATAAACTCAGCATTGGAGAGAATTTAATTTCGCAGCATGATAAAAATACCTTTTCTTCTTTCCTTTATTCTTGCTTCAGCAGCATTTATTAAGAGCCTACCTTCTGCAAAGCACTTCAATTAAGACACTGCCAGTGATGTTGCCTTGTATTTTATGCAAATAATATTTATTTTCTGTCCCTCTGCTCATGGATCCTGCTGCCCTTTATTCCAATACACATCTTCACCACACCCAATAAAAAAGATATTATTATAGAATCCCAGAGTTTCCAGTACTTCTTTGAAAATAAGTTCACCAATGCTTAATAATGAATTTATTGATGCATCATAAGCATACCCGAACAAGTGAACATTCCAGGAATTTTGCAACTGCAAAATTTCTATAATAGACCTTGGTATTCTTGGGTTGAGATAGTGCAAGGGACCACCAAACCTTGCACTATGTATGTTCACTGCAGTCCTCAGAGCCCCACAGGTGTCCAGGACCATCATGGTGTGAATTTTAATTCTTTAACCTTATATGGGGTTTCATGCTCTATTGATAAGTACTTTAACTCTTAGTGGTCTCTTATACTCAAGTTTCTTGTTTCCCCCCGTGTAGCCCCAGTGGCTCCAGAAATCACTTCTGTGGAATATTTCAACAGTCTGTTGTACATAAGCTGGACGTACGGGGATGACTCTACTGACCTCTCTCACTCCAGAATGCTGCACTGGATGGTCGTTGCCGAAGGAAAGAAGAAAATTAAAAAGAGCGTATGTTGCTTTGAATCCCTTTATTGGGCATGTGGACACTTGCTTGCATGAACTATGCAAAACCATTAAACAAAGTTTACTGAAATATTAAACAAATGTTTGTATGTCAGTTGGCGTTGTACTTGGCTCTGAAGTTAGGCTAGTGGACCAAAATTAAGTTCCCCTTTTTTAATGGAGCCTACTTTTTAATCTCCAGTAGTTGAAATAGTTGTAACTATTTATTTCACTTATATTTAAAGTTACGATTTGAGCTTTTTCTTTAGGGTGCCAAACATTTTCAAGAAAACCACAGTTAATAAATCTCAATATTTTCTTCATCTATCCCCAAACTCCTAAATATTTGGGTACGTTAGGAATAGTGATTTAGGGTAGGAATAGTGATTTCTCTTCCCCTGTATTAACTTTACTGACATTGCATTAGTAGGGTACAGATTAAATGACTGTAATAAATCAGAGCAAAGCAAAACAAAACAAAAATGATAATAGCTTTGATTTAAAGAAAATCAGAGTTTATGTTTCTGTCATGCTAGTCCAGAGCTACTGGGACGCCTCCTCTGTAAGGGTCACGCAGCCATCCAGGTTCTCTCTCCCTCGTTGCTCCTGGGGCCACTCTGTGTAGTTCTCATCTGCAGAGGTGAATGTTCATTAGCATCCCGTCCATATACCAGCCTGCAAAAGGGGAAGGAGAGGATGCGAAAGCCAGCACTTATAGGATGTGAATGAAACTAAATATAAGTTGCCCAAGGGACTTCTACTTACAATTCATTGATCAGAATGGAGTCACCTGGTTTCCTCCAGCTGCAGGGGAGCTGGGAAATACAATCTCTAGTTAAGAAGCCAAGTATCTAGGTTGAGAAGTGTATGTATCCAGAGCAACACACCAATTGCCTTTTCTAAATTTTTCTGTGAGTTATGAAGAAAAATATCAGAGGGATACACATTCCAAACACGGAAATTAATGGCAAACATGCTTTGATATGTACTATGTGTGTTTAGAGCTATTTTGCATTTGGCTCAGATGAGGAATTCATATCATTTTTAGAGGAAATAACATATTATAAGGGTGTAATCAATTGTAGATTGTATCACAGAACAGAGAGGCCATGTCTGCGATAGCCCTGAAGTTGTTTAGAATGGTATTACAGTTCAAGTTTACTAGGAGGTTAAACCCTCAGTTTTCCTGACCTTACAGGTAACACGCAATGTCATGACTGCAATTCTCAGCCTGCCCCCAGGAGATATCTACAATCTCTCAGTAACTGCTTGCACTGAAAGAGGAAGTAATACCTCCACCCTCCACCTTGTCAAGCTCGGTAAGCTGAGTGCCTGGCGGTGGGGGAGAGGCTGCAGTGGAAATAACATGCTGGGGGAACTACCGTTTGCATTTCTCAGTTTAGCATGGTCTTCTCAACTCAATGAGGCAACCGGAAAAACGGCTCACTCTCTTATAAGTGCAAAATACTTGTTTACGCTACCGCAAGTGTGTTCATCTTAGTACAAGTTTCTGCGAATGCAGCGTTTACTGTATTGGGAGACAGGAGTGTTTGCCATTCATGGTAAAGGTAGGAGGAACTAAGGAGTCTCAGGACTTTAAAGATGGAAGGACCTTAGAGATTCTCCAGGGCAGTGTGCTCAACCCTATCAGAAGCCGTTCCCTGTTCCTGTAACTGGTATGTAAGGCTCCCTTTAATATCTTCTATTAAAATTCCTAGGTAAAACAACCCATATATTAATTTTTAAAAACTTGATACAATGTCCTAACTCTAATGTAAAATCAAGATAAAATAAAATAATTTACAATAAAAGAATAAGGATACTCCACATATATGTTCATATGCAGCTCTTCTAAAAATCATATGAAATTGCCTGATGGCTACACGTTATTATATGAGTAAGTTTGAATTTACATAAAATAAAAGGATCCATAGTTCTTCTATATAAGAAGTATAAAAGTAAGTGAAGAAATGAACAAGTTTATATTGACTAGTTATAAATAACTGAGCAAGCATAAGTATAGGTAAACTCTAGAATTAAAAACAAAAGTTAAGTAGTAAGAGACTAGATGTATTTTTATATAATAAAAGAAAGGGGGAAATAACCTAAATTAAAGTTGAGGTAACATGCCAAAAAATAATAGGATGTGGATGAAGGAAAATTAGGAAAGTATAATATTCTTGAAAATGAGCTAGAACTTACTGTGTAGTATAGTGTGAAAATAATTGTTATGTTATGAAACACAACTAAGATATGATACTATGTAACACACACACACAGCTTGTACATTCAGCAATCTACCATGCATTGAGATAAACATTTCTTTTCTGATAGTTACTTCAGAGATGATAATCCTAGAATCAGCAGCAGGCAAAAGAGACCAGAGTGGCAAAAATGATTTGGTAGACCTCATGGGGCAGTATTGGTTTAAAAGCACCAACCCCCCAAATAAATGCATTCCAATTTAAAGTGTAATTTTCACAGTAGAGATCTTATTTTGTATGTTAAAACTTGAAATACACAGAAGGGCAATAAAATATTCTCAAAACACTTAATACGGCTTAGTGACATCACTGTTTCAGATGTCTGCTGATTTATCCTCTGTGTCTGAATGTCTTCATAAGAGTCTCTAATCACCACTGTTGCTGCATGTGTTCATATGTGTTCATATGTGCAGCTCTAGGTAGGGAGAGATCCAGGGTGCTTTATTAGCAGCTTAAATACCATCAGTAGCATGGTTGATGGTGAGGTACCTTTAGAAAACTCTTAGAACATTCTCCAAACAAAACAAAGCATAGTATTTCCTTAGTGTACCTGACCATTTCAGTTCTCTATAATTCATTACACTGTCTTAATTTTTTTGGTCTCATATTTGCCATGCAGAAACTAAATTCTTGTGTTGGAAACCCTTTAAAATTGAATAGGTAGTTGGAAATACGTGACATTTTGGACAAAAAAAGTAAAATAAGTAATTTTTAAAAATAGCATATTAGCCCTGGCTAGTGTAGCTCAGTGGATTGAGCTCAGGCCTGTGAACCAGACAATCGCGGTTCGATTCCCAGTCAGGGCACATGCCTGGGTTGCAGGCCGGTTCCCTGCAGGCCAGTTCCCAGCAGGCGATGCACCAGAAGCAACCATACATTGATGTTTCTCCTCCTCTCTCCTTCCCTTCCCCTCTAAAAATAAATAAAAATCGAAAATAAATAAATAAACTAAATTTAAAAAATAGCATATTAATTCCATGTATATATTCTTCTTACTGACAGTTTTCTCCTAAATTAATTAACTTCTTGAAAAAATTCCAATATCATTGCATGGTAAAGTACTTGTGAGTATATTTATAGTGGATTAATTCTGATGTAACATTAGACAGTCATGAAGTACTTTGGATGTGGGACAATTTTTTTTTTGTTTGGAACTTTCTTGATTGTTGCAGGACATGTAGCATTTCTGTGTCCTGCTCACAAGACATCCAGGCAACTTCTGCTGTGACTATTAAAATCATTTCTGCATATTTCAAAATATCCTCAAGGGGGCGGTACTGCTTCTGTTGAGAATTGCTGGTAGAGTTTAATTTGGGACACTGGTGGCAATCTGCTCTTCTTCCCTGGAAGTCTGTACTGGAATTCTAGGAATGTGGAGATCCTCAGCTTCCAACATGGCCTGATCTTTCTATTAAGGAAAAGTAACAAGGGGGGGGCGGGGTGTGGAGACAGGAGGGAGGTGGGAAGGGCTGGTGGGGTGGGCTGGGATGTAGGTAAAGGGTAGAAAACTGTACCTGAACAAAAATTAAAATAAAAATAAATACATTTTAAAAAAGAAAAGAAAAATATAGCTTGCCCATTAATTCTAACCATTGTCTGTGATTTTTGTCCATATAGGAATGTCAGTTTAAAACTCATTTCTGGATAAGCAGAACTACTTAAAGACTGTGCCCATGTTCCCTGTGCCTTTCTTTTCCAAAGCTTTATCACTATGATAAAGCCCCGAGAGGGTCCTAGCTGCCGTAAACAACTCATCTGATTTGTTAGTCCCAGCTAACATGCAAGTTCAAAGGTGATCTTACAAAAATAGCATTCAGTGGGCCCATTACGTGCTTTGCATCATTGTTATCTAACATTATGGATGATCTATCAAGCAATTATGGGTTGAAGTCATAAACTCTTAGGATACTATTCATACTCCATAGCAGCCTGAGTAAAAACCATGATAACTCCCCAGGCAGAAGGAATAGGCAGAGGCCAGACAACTGTGTACCGGATTTGTAAGGCATACAGTTGAAATTTAATTTTGAGGGCAATTTGAAGCCATTTAGAGAATTTAAAATAAATAATACAACTTATATTTAAAGTAATCCCTCTGGTTGTTCAAGGGAGATAGATTGGTTGGGTCAATAATGAAGGTAGGGAGACCAATTAAGGAACTATTCGTCCTTAGCCTTTTCAACCGCATTCTAAATCAAACAAGTGCCATGGGAAATGATGGCTCCTTTGAGTAAAGTGGTAGGAATGGAGATGGAGAAAAGTGGACAGAACTCAAGAGCTATTTTGAACGCTGTGTTCATAGGGCTTTCTGATGGAACGAAAATAGGAAATGAGAGAAAGGGAAATTCAGAATGACTCATAGGCTTTGCTCTTGACCAGCCAGGGTAGATAGTGGTACAATCGAGAGTGAAAAGACTGGAAAAACCAAAGAAGACGTAAATTTGGGGTAAGGTGAGAATCGAAGCTTCTTCCTTGTATATAAAAATATTGAGAAAACATCCAAGTGCTGTTGTCAAATAAAGAGATTATTGGTATAAGTATCTGGAGATTGGGAGAGAATTTTAGCCTGGAAACATAAATTTAGGGGTGTCTGGATAAGATCACCAAGAAGGAAGTAGAAAGAAGAAGGGAAGAGAAGGCCTGGGTCTGTACTAGAAGAACCAGCCCGGCATTTAGAATCTGAGCAAAGGAGGAGAAGCCAGCAAGACAAAATGGGAAGAAGCAACTAATGGGGTCAGAGAAAACCAAAAGACAGAAAAATGTGCACACCACCGTTGTCAAACTTCTCTCTTGTCCCTATCACAGATGTGTTCAGGCAGGTTCAAGATAAGGAATTAGATGACATTAGTGTTGGGAGAAATTTGTGATTTAGTGCAATGTCTTCACTTGAGCAAGCTGGAACTTTGAGAAATTTGATCCACTGCTGAGCCTGCATCTAGAAACACTGATTCAGTATTTTATATCCATCTGTTGGTTATATTTTCCTGGATTTGGGTGTGTTTTTCCAGAACTTCTGTTTCCTGTTAACACATTTAACCACACCCATTTGTGTGACTTTCTGTTTCTGTTCTAGAATTTAGGTATTAATGACATTGGTGATGTCGGCTTAACTATCTCAGTCATGAAAGATTTTATATCAATTAAAAATCTTTATAACATAATTTGACTATGGACAAAAAAGAGTCAAACTACTTTCAAATATTAGGAACTTGGAGGATATTAGAATCTGGTTGTCATAATATCCAAGTAGAGTACAAATAATCACACACATTTGGATGCAATGTAATTTCTAACTATGTACAAGTCCAGGCATTACATGGTATTGCCCCTCAGGGTCTCACTCCCAGTTGAGAAAATTTGTTTATTCTTATATTAAAGTCATTGAGTTTATGATTTTTGAAATAGTTGCTTGGGTATATGCAGTCCTTATTTTTTGGTAAGTAGGAAGTTAAGTGTTGTGAGTCACAGCAAACCAAAGTTCCTCTCCCTGTCTACCCATACTTATTTCAAATGGTCTCCTACTAAGTGACTAAGTTGTCATCCTCATTAACTTCACCAAAAGAGGGAAAATGAGTTCAATGAAATAAGAACGGGAATGAATTGTGTCAATGGAACACAAAAAAAAAAAAAAAGGAAAAAAAGAAAGAATGAATGGAGGGAAAGAAGGAAGAATGTTAGAAAAGAAAGTGTGAGATATATACATCCCATCAGTTAAAAGAACTTAATAAAATAATTAAGGTACTATACTTTTTTAAAATGAATTTATTCTGTCAGTCACCAGATACTCATTTAGCCTTCACTGTGTGCTATCCATTAACCTATGTGTAGAGAGTACAGAAATTAACACACTGACAAAAGTGTCTACCCCTATTCCAGTGGAGAAAAGGGGATGATAGACTAAATATAGAATGTCTAATGATGATACATTTACGAGAAGTGAAGCAAAAAAGGAGGAAGTGTTATGAAGGGCAGGGTGCAGTTTTATAGGAGTAGGAATAGGGTAAGTTTCACTGTAAAGATGATATTTCAATCAAAACCTGAAGGAGGAAGTGAGC